TATCACAATTCACTCAAGCTCATTATCTGTAATTGAATAAAGAAAAACAAGTAATTATTTTAGAGAAAAAAAAAATAACAATCCATATCAAATAATAAAAACATATTATTTAAATTTCTAATCGTATTTTCGTAAGTATGAATTAAGTTTGCGAGATTTATCATTAGTGAGGTATGAATATTGAACAAAAAAAAGAAACCCGATACACTAATACAAAATCATAAGCTCGTCGTTTGTGGATTTTTTTTTTTATGCCATTCAACCTTTTTATTTTCACTCCATATAAAACATACAATTGTTATTTAACTTTTAACATCAATGACGTTTTATTTTATTTTTTAAAACATAATTCACGATTTTCTAGCTTATATCTGCATGTGAGGATAGAAATTTTATTAACATCTTGAATTTTTTTTATAGGGGCTAAATATTTATCTTACGTAAGTTTTTTTTTTAAAGAAAAATAAGACATTTTAATAGCAGAAGAATAAATTAGGTTAGAGTTTATCTAAGAACACGAAACTTAAACGTTCGCGAAGAAGCTTTTTTTTTCAATATCTAGTTTAAGTGCTGATTTAATAAACATTTTGTTATAAGATAACCCTTAAGTTGTTTGAAAAATGTCCAAGAAAATATTGTTCTTGTTGTTTAATAATAAGTTTCAATTTTAGACAACTTAATAGACAAAATTTACAAGATTCATTTTCTTTAATTGGACCGTTATATTATGTCAGGCCTCGCTAAATGCACCCAAAAACCCCTGCTCAGACTCATTAAAAACGCATCCAAACCCTTCTGCGCAAACGCCAAGTGTCAAGAATCGAAGTTTCGAAAATCAGTTAGTGGATGGCAGGTGTCGACAAGAGAGTGTACGTCCGTTTGGACATGGGGTAAACAAAAATGATTTTTTCTGAAAACCCTGCCCACTCTCCTCTGCATGCACCCTCTTTCCAAAATTTGATCTTTCATTTTCCTCCTTCTTCTTTCTAGAAAACACTCCCTTCTCTCTACTGTAACTTACCCTTCTCTACTCCGATCACCGTTCAGGCACCGTGGAAGCATTCCCAGCGTCCCAAGCTTCATCTTGAACCGATTGAGTTTCAAGTTTGAACTGGTAAGTCTTCTCCCCTTAGTCTTTCGTTCTTTTGTTACATGCAAACCACGTTTTGGTTTCATGCGAGGGTGTAGACTAAGTTATCTTGGTTTCTTACTGTTTGGTTTAGTTTGGAAGAGTTAAGTGATCGTGAGGGTAGAAGTTGTAGTCGGACGAACCAAGAACCTACGTTTAGGACGTTCACTCACGGATCCAGGTAAGGGAAGCTTATTTAATTTAATTTGTATGTTGTTGAAATGTTTTAACGTTCGTTTAGTTGATGAATGATTGAATGTATGTATCAAGTATGAATACTGATATGGTGGTTGATTTGGAATATGATTTCTTGCTATGATATGGATTGTATGAAGTAATCAAATTGATTGTGATTAAAATTTTATAAACTTATGAAACTATGTATTGAGAAATGAATTGAATATAAGTGAAGTCTGAATATGTATTTCCCATGATAGTGTACGTTCATTATCGAACGGTCATTGACCGTTCGATAGTTCTGTTAAATTTGTTTGAAATGGAATTCCTTCAATTGAGGAGAATTCTAGTTGAGGACGAACGCCCTCTTGTAATAATGCTATGTTTGAGCGTTCGGCCAAGCGTAGATGCCCATGAGTGTTATGTGAGGAATTGAGAATCTTGTAAACATATATTTGGATACTTAGTCATTCTTAAACCTTATCTTCATCATCTCGTATTATATTTATTACTATTAATATTTCTATTATGAGTTTAAATTAGTGACGGGTCTCAACCCAAGCTCTCGTAATGAGTGGCGCTCGGTCTTATACCGAACGCTCGTAATCGTTTTTAATTTATCAAACTTGATGAAACAGCGTTCGTCCAAATTCAGTAAATCCTTTTACCGTGTTCGGTCATTGACGGGCATTAGGTTCCTGTATATGATTAATTCTAAACTATGGTTATTTAACGTTCTGATGTGTCTACGTTCATTGGATCCGGCCTAGAGCCTCCGTATTTACTCTATTCTTTGAGTGTGGGTCTGAACTCACGAGAGTCAGTTCATTTAACTGATTCACAATGTAAATAACGTTCGTTACATATTATATATATTTTACCCGGGATTATTCTTGAATCTAAAAGTAATTCTCTTGGTCTTATTCTATTCTGGGACTGGAGACCTATCTGTCTCGTCTCAAGTGTTCGTCCTCGTTCTGGGTGAGGATTGAACGTTCGGTTTCTGGTGTCTTTATAAACCTTTGAACAAAGATGAATTTGAGAAAAGTGATAATGAAGGATGGAATTGAAAATGATTATGAATGAAATGATGTGAAGTTGGACGAGCGTTCCAGGGAGGAACGATTCTTGGATGAATATTGATATCGTAAAGTATGAATGTGGACAAAGCTTAGCTGGAGATTCATCCTGATGTTCCGTGAGTACTCGTCCTCACGTAGAGGGGAGTAGGTCATGTGTGGGAACGACAGGAGGTCCTAGTCCTTAGGGGTACTTTGGATGGAACGGACTAACCTCGGGTGGCAGCTGATGAGAATTCCAGTTACTACATCACCCGGGTGCACGAACGTCGTAGCTACACAGAATTCATACAGTCCGGACAGTCGATCTAGTATCAGGGTTTGATTTGAATTGTTTATTGGAATGTGTTTGAATGTGCTTGCATATGAAAATGTATGTTATTACTTGAATTAAATTACATAAGCTTACCCTGTGTCTTCTTTGTGTTGTCTTGTCCTTGTACGTCCGTCTTGTCTTTGCAATGATCATCCGTGTGGATGTGAGCAGATGGAGACGCGCTACTGGAAGAGGCGCTGGAAGAAGGAAATTTGGAGGAAGAGAACCTCGTCGATGTGGAAGTTAAGGCCGAACCGTAGTACGTTTGGTTAGTAGTATAGTTTAGTTAGTATAAGGTGTCGTTCGGTCACCTTTTTCTTTCTTTTTTTAGTAATGACCGTTCGGTAAACTTTCTTTTTGTAAACTGATCAGTCTAGTTTTGTTATCTTGTAAAGTTAAGTTTATAACTTTATGTAAGGCCGATCGGTCGTGATCGATCGTTGCTTAGTGTAAGACTGAACCGATACGTTAATTAATGTGATTATTCTATTGTATGGTTTATTACTGTATTTATAGGATGTTACATATCCTAACTTATTTTCAATTTAATCTTTTAACTATACCTTCAAAATCAATACAAAATAACAAAAATAAAGTGAAAAATAAAAACGAAATTTAAGCCCAAAACAGCAATTATTAAAAAATTAATTGAAATAAAAATAACTAAATTTAAAAAAAGTTAAAAATATAGAATGAAAATGATTAATTAGTAAAGATTATGTGAAAATCCTGTATTTGGTAATTCACTTAGAGAACTGAAAAACATTAATTACAAAACCATACGACACCTACATTTTAAATCCATATCTTCATCACCTTGAATACAAATATCTTAGGGGACGATGTTCTTTTATGTTATTAAATGATAATTTTTAGTAGACAAATAGAGTCATGACATATTATTCATTTATAAAATAATTGTTAATTTTAACTTTAAATTTAATTTAGCAATCAATAAAATAACCTAACAAATTAGTTTTGATAAAGTATAGTGACACTAGTGAGATAATATTAATTTATGAAGATGGAGAGAAGTATAGAACTGTGAATTAAAATAAGTAGAATTTGATGATGTATTGTATATATGTGTTGGGGACAGATATAGCTAAGTGCGAAGACTTTAAGATCACCAAAGTTAAGGTGCATGATGTTTTGTGGGGTTAATCACTCACCAAATCCACTTAGCAAAAATGTTTTAATGCTCCATGTTATGTTCAGTGGTGTTTTCCACCTTTTTAAAAGAATTTAAATTATTACTTTTATTTAAAACGCATGAAAGTTTATACGCACTCAACAAAACATAACAAGTATCGAAACATGCATATTAGTATTTTAATATTTATATAGATAATGATATTTTGACAACATTATTTTACAACATTTTAATATTATTTATGTATTATTCTGGGATTGGTCCATATTAATGTTTCTGATTATTATTATTGATATTAGAATAATGATACATAAATATATTGTTAAAAAAATATTGTCAAAATATTATTATCTTATTTATATACATCATTAATTATAAATATATTAGTAGACGATGAAAAGAAATAAAACAAGTTAATAGTATTTATATACATTTTGAACCCGAAATTCTTTCAAAAGTTTAAAAATAAAAAATTTTAATTTGAGGATATAATTGGAATTAAAAAAAATTGGGGAGGTGGAGGGAGAAAGGTGTGGTGGTGGAGGGAGCAACACCCAAAAATTAACACGAACTTTTGAAAATATATAATTAAAGTTTGAATGAGTTTCTTCTTTGATCCTAAGAAACGAGCCCAATAGTTACGGATGAAAAATATAAAATAATTTAACTTTTCATTAGCGATGTCACGATTTTAAAGATGATTAACATAAAAGTCAACAAGTTTTCATGATTAGAAAACAATATAATTATACAGTGAATATATATATATATTATTTTACCTCTAAAAAATTGTCAAAAATATTGTCACTGTTAAAAATGTCGGCAGGCTCGGCTGATGCTCAAATTTCTCTCTTTTTAAAGTTAGCTTGTGATTGCAACACTAATAATGAGACAATAATGATAAATTTTTTTAGAAAACTTACTGTTGAAAATATTTTACTGACATTTTCTTTTATATTTTTCACTAATATAAAATTTAATTTTAGCCTTTGAATTTGTAAGACAATATAAAAGTAGTATATAAATTTAGAAAAATATTCATTTAGTAAAATATTACCCTAGCCCAAACCTAATACCGTCATTTCCTAAAATTGAGTGTTTTGGAGGGAAAATAATGGGAGCGAAAACTCGTTGTTTTTCTTCATTTTTACAGTAAGTTAAATTCCCACACTCTCCAATTTCAAAATTTTCGTCTCATGCTCCTCTTCCATTTCTTCAATGGAATCTTCCACCATGATCAACCTCAATTCCAATCACAAGAGACCCTTCGCGCCCGATTTTTCTTCATCTTCTTCTTTCGACAATAACCCCAAAACTATCTCACTCTTTGTAAGAAACTTTGATGTCGCTCTCCTTTCATCCACCCAAAACGGCGCCGTTTCGCCTTGCGACTTCATGCGCCTCCGCGCGGACCGCCCGTACTCGATCGGGCGCAGTCCTCGCGACTGCAGCTTCGTATTCCGCGATCGGCGAGTGAGCAAGCGCCACTGCCAACTCCTCTTTGATTATTCCCTCCGCAAACTCTACATCCTCAACGGCGTTCTTTTGACCGACGACTGCACCGCCGCGTGGCGCCTTGTCCACGAGTTCAGAATAAGGGCGAGGACGTCGTCTCACGAAAACAACGATTGCTTCGTGCTTCGTAAAGCTTCCAACGGGGTTTTCGTGAACGGCGTTGAGTTGGAGAAGGGAACGGCGGTGGAATTATCGGTTGGAGATAGGGTTTCGCTGGTTTGTGGGAGCCAGAACGGTTCGTGTGGGGTTGGGAACGGAGTTGGGTTTGTTGTTGAGAGAATTGATTTCGATGGGTGTGATAGTGAGATTGATGGGTTGAAAACATTCTCGGAGCACTCGCAGAGTGGGAAGAGGAGTAAGAGGGTTTTTGCACTGAAGGCTAATGTTTCAAGGTATGAGGGAGTTGTTGGGAGAGGAAGGTTTCTTCTCGATAGGTGCAGAGATATATTGCTTAGTAGTGATCCTGTGTTGTGTGTTGTGCGTGATGGATCTGTATGTGCCCCTTGCAATGCTGAAGTGCAGTCAAGTTTGGGATTATTTGGTGAAAGTAAAAGGATGGATTTGGATGCAAAAGTTGGAGTTGATGTTGCTGATAAGGTTCCTAAGACAAAGGTGGTGTTAGATTGCGCAGGGAAGGAGAATCTTGATCATTCTTCTATTGGGGGTGACTGTCTGGGAAAGCTTGGCAGTGGCAACGACAATGTTTATCCCCAGCCTGGCAAGAATTTTTACCTGAACCGCCTTGAATTTATGAACCATGGCTCCTCGGCGTGTCATCGGTCGATATCTCTTCCTGAACTTATTCATCCTTTGGAAAACATTTCGAGGATATTTATAGCAACGTTTACAAGTGACATAAAATGGTGTGATTACCTAAAATTTTTCAATGTACTGTTTTCCTTTCCTATTGCTCCCTTTTCAAACCATTTTTGTCTCTTGCTTGTGTTTCCTTTTGTGGTCTCTTTACTTGTGATTATGTGTTTTCGATTGGCTGGAAATGTATCCTAACTGAAGTGTCTTGTTAGGTTCTTGGCATATTGCAAGATTCCTTTTTACCTTCCAGTTACGATTGCATGCCAGAATACCGAGAGATGTTGGAGTTCAAAACCCGAGGACAGAGTATCTGTGCCTTACCAGGATTATCCTAACCTTGTTGTAGTGTAAGTTTGTCTTTTTGTTTTCTTTGAATTTTTTTTTCAAGGGTGGGGGAGATATGTGGCTTAAATTACGCCCTTGCGATTCACCACTTTATTTCTCCTTTTTGTGAACGTCTTTCTTGGTGGATATTAGGTATCCCCAATTCCCTGAAACCATAGCATTTGGTAATGACCGCAAGAGACAAGGGATTGCTTGCCATCACCCAAAGTTGATTGTTTTACAAAGAAAAGATAGCATTCGAATTGTTATCACATCTGCTAATTTGGTGGAAAAGCAGGTATTCTAATAACCAAACTTTTAGTTATTGACATTGATACGTGATTTTACCTGATAAATTGAAGAGAAAATATATTTTCCGTGTTCATTTGTTTACATTGTTTATTTGTACATCACATACCTGATAGCTTATTGCCTTCATAAGATGAAATGTTTCTAGCTTAGTAGGAGTATTAAGGTCTTACAGTATCTATATTAACAAACACTAAGAATAAAATATCATAATTTATGTAGTATTTGAATTATTATTACAGATTCTAATTTGGTGGAAAACTCAGTAATACTTATATACTCAGTGACTCACTGATCGGAACTAAGCAAAACTAGAATCAGAAACCAATGGAAGGTACACTATACAGTGACACTACAAGTATGCAGTGCTTAACAAAACCCCACAGTCTCCATCTCGCAGTTCTTCTCCAAGATAGAAGCCTTCCTAACCTTTTCTCCTCAAAATTCTTTGCTCTCTTTGAAATCCCTCCCTTGCTTCCGATTTCTCTCTCCAATCATGCCAGAATCCCCCTCCAATCGAGAGGAGTGCTAGGAGCATACTCTCTATCACATCTCCTTATCGGTTAAAAATTATTGAAAACTACAAAAATAGGATTGAAATTCAATAAGATGTGAAACTCTAAAAAGTTGTGATTTCTAATGAATTTCATTAAATAAGATTATATCCACAAAAATTGTGATTTGCAATATATTTCAGCCAATAGTAGAGTGTTCCAAATACCATGTCAAAGTGTGGCGTGGACGTTTATCCTCCAACCAAGGTTTCTGCCTTAAGTTTTGTTATTACATCCATCGTGCTTTCCCTTGACCAAATCCTTCCTTGTCCCATTAGTTGTTTTTCCTTCATAGATAAATGTTCCTGATAACCCTTGTTATCTCAACCTCTTTTGTCTCTCTTCCTCATAGACACCGGCCACCTGTTGTATATTGTCTTTTTTTCATCCAAATTGATTGAAAGTGGGGCATGTAAATCCTTTGTTAGTATCAGAACAGAATGTTTTATTGGATTTGGTTGTGATATCAAAACTATATTGATGCTCAAAACTAAAAAATTTGTAGAACATACGCACACATATGGGGGGACATATCCAGTCAGATGAGAGGAGTAGGTTTTGGCCATACAACCATATATGGATGGTGAAAATTGTTTAACTAGTATTAGTCTTAACAATCAATTTCAATATTATATGGTTGAAATATACTCCTCTTGCTCACACCTCTCTCCTGATGCCATATTAATTGGAGAGTTTTTTCTCCAGAGGAAAATATATATTAGTTGTTGGATCTTACCATGAATGGTCAAAGATTAAAAGATGAATTATGTGAATCTCTTAAAAAGTCACATAGCTTTTATGAAATTTTTAATTTTAACAATTCATGCATGATTCTACATTCCAACTTATCTATTCGTATTCTCATATAAAAAATATTTTCTCACTAGATACATTCTCTCTCTCTCTCTCTCTCTCTCTACATACATACATACATACATATATGCATGTATGTATATGTATATAGTAAACCAATGACTACATTTCATCTTGTATTTGCTGTCCTTTATATTTCATTATTCATCGACATAGAAATAGTGTTCTTTTTTGGATTATTTTATATACTATAAAAACAGTGCAAAATTTGTTTGGAGCAATAAAGTGAAATGATGAAATAAGCAAAACATAAGAAGGCAGAAAAAACTTTTATTTCCCACCTCAATCAAATAAATTAATTTACATTATACTTATATACAAACATTGGATGACTCAGAATTATTCTTGTAAAATGTTTGGATGTAAGACATCAACTACTGCAATTGCCATAGTTTCCCTAGTATAAACTTTGAAGCCTATAATTGCAACATCTGTATCATCATGTAAAATTATGTGTATTAGCATTTTCATAGGTATCTTTACTCATGCTGATTGTAGGTTTACAACTATTTCTTGTTTGTATGTCATTATTCACCAACTTGGCAAAACTATTGATTAGTTTTTCAATTTTTCATGGTTGTGTAGTGGAACAGTGTGACTAACACTATATGGTGGCAAGATTTCCCTCATGCTACTTCTGTTGATTTTTCATCGCTTTTCCCAAAAATTGGCAATGCTGAAATTCATCAGTCAAAATGTGATTTTGCTGCTCAGTTGGCTGGGTTTATGGCATCTCTTGTTATTGATGTACCCAGTCAGGCTCACTGGATTACACAGCTGACAAAATATGACTTTGGAGGTGCTACAGGACATCTTGTTGCTTCAGTACCTGGAATTCACTTTTATAGAACTTCTGTTTTGTCAGAATCTTTTCAGGCCTCTCCTGTTGCAAGTACTCAAGTATGTCATCAAAGATATTGCTTCTTTCAGCACTGATTGACTGTCCTTGCCACTGCCTCTGTATTTATTTTTTGATATAAATTTTTGTTCTTTTAAATTTTAATATTTGCGAACTATATCCACCTCGCTTGGGGTTGTAATATTATACCCTTAAACCCCGACTTTGGTTAAGGTGATGCTAGTAGGATATCTTAGTTTAATATTGAATTCCAGCACTAATATTGTTAGCCATGTGATCATTTGGTGACTTAGGTGAAGCTACTTCTTCTATGGATTCTTTGACTGCAATTTATACTCTAAAAGATGCTAATTTCTGTTCATTTTTTTTTATCTGTTTTGAAGTTTCTCGGTTCAGTTGTGGCATCCGTGGTTGGTTTGAGCCATTTTTTCCGCACTGTAGCGGACTCAAACAGTGCTAGACTAAAATCATTGGCTTCATTCCTTGGAAAGTCTTGTAAGAATGCTCACGGGAAGTTGGAGATTGTTTTAAGAAGAAAGCCCATTGCGTCTGTTGATGAAAATGCTGTTATTGTTCTTGTTCCCAATCCTGATCGATCTTTTGAGGGAGGTAAAAGCTACGTCACTTGTGAATTCCGTTTGCATTATATTTACATTCAATTCTTCATTCATCTCATTATTTTCAAATTAATTTTTTATTCTGTTTTTCTTAAATGTGTTTTGAACTTTCGTTATATTGTGATTGTTGTTTTGGACATGCCCGTATAGCGGGTGGATAGGTTTTCTGTTGTTTTGGATAAAGATTTTCAGGCTACCCAAAATGGTGATAATATCGATTGTTTTTGTTCCTTTTTGTAGACTGCGTTCAACTTGGTTTTCTGCCTAGAGATGTTGCAAACTGGGTTTCTTCTCTTTGGGATGCCGGATTCTTCACGTTTTCTGGATATGTTTGTGCAAAAGAGGCACTTGCTGCTGCCATGGGAGAAACCTCTAAGAAAGTTCAATTAGTACTAAATGTCTCAGAGGTGTATTTGATGTGTCTTCGACAGGATGACTTGTTAGTTGCCTTTATTTATGTTACATGATTTTTGAGGCTTTGTAACTTTGCAGGGGCATCATTTTAAAGATATGTCAAATATGATGCAATCCGAACATATTGTGTCCTTTTGCTCACTCATTGCTTCGATTGAAAGATGTTATGGCCTTTGGAGACTACAAGAGGTTAGTGGTGCCAGACCAGGAAGATCTTTTGCATTGATTGTGTTAAGATGTTCCACATCCGCCATGAAATTGGCCAAAAGGCCTCATAAAAGACTTGTACAATCTCCCCCCTTGAGCTACTTTCTTAATGAAGTTAGGCTTAACTCATTTCTAACATGGTATGCGAGCCTATCTAGTCTCTATGGTAGGCAACATGTAAATTTAACTATTCAGATGTCTAGTTTTGGTTGTTAAGGGTATGTTTTAAGATGTCTAATTGGCAAGGCATATGGCGGAAATATTTCTTGTAAGGTTTGTTATTTCTAATCTCTAATAGATCTGTTGAAATTAAGGTTAAGTTTGATTTCTTTTTCTAGTTTTGTTATCTTGAAGTATGGTTACGAGTTTCTCTTTCTTTGTCACTGAAGCATTCTTGATTTTGCATGTAAATGACAATGTTTATGCTATAAATTATTTTGAAAGATCCAGTTACGAATAATTATTATTACATTTTCTACCAGGTTCTAAATCGATACAAATGGCCCGAATCATTAAAGTCTGAAATTATTTGCAGTAAGTTTTTTTTTTTAATATTATCGAGTACAATGCCAACCCTACTACATTACAGGTCAGAATCAATAAGATGACCTCGTTATTTTTTCATTCTTCTGGACAATATTGTTTGACACCTTTTCTGTCCATTAGGTGCATCTTCTATTGGTTCATCTGTCAATTCAAAATTTCTTGCTGCTTTCTCGTCTGCTGTTGGGAAAAAATCATTGCAACATTTTGACTCTGAAGAGTCTGATCCCGAAGTAATCCGAAGGCCTTTGCTCTTTCATTAGATTCCCTTGAAAAAACTTACATCTTTTCTAAACAAGGCATGATTTGTTTAAATTGTTTTTTTTTTTAATTCAATAGTTTAATGATGCTTTGACAGTGGGGCTGCTGGAGTGCTAGTGAAGAACTGAAGAATCCTTCTGTTAGAATTCTATTCCCCACTATTGAAAGAGTGAAGAATGCTTATAATGGGATTTTGCCTTCAAGATATATACTTTGCTTCACAGAGGTGATATGATTTTCTTTATGCTAGATTCCTTGGGTAACCTTTATTTTCATAGTTGTTTTGTTCCCTTAGTAGTTTGTGATCAATATTTTGTTGAAAGTCATACTTCATTAAAGTCTGAATACAATAATAATGTATTATATTTGTATTTTTAAATAAGAACATGTGAACGGATATTAACTATTGGTTGTTTTGGAAAACTGCCTTAACTGCCATCACTCTTAGCGTGCTGTAGTTGCGGGGTATCTTTGGAGGAGCCTTGATTCTAGCCTTAACGGTGGTGAATTAGTTCTACATTGGTTAGAGAGATGTGAATTAAACAAAACTTAGGCAGTTTTTTCCTTACAAACTGATTTTTAGGCCTGAATGATATATCCAAACTGAAATTCTAAGAAATTGTTTAGGTGTTACCACCAGTACCCTCATTAGAAAAAAGGATTCCAGATAAATATATTTTTTTGAGGAAATTTCAATTATCAAGGAGACAACGACATATTTGAGTTCTCTCGTTAGATTTTGTGACAAGATCACGTGGAGAGACAGGCACGAACTCATTCATACAAAGATTGCATGGGACAATTTGTTGGTCCCTATTTAGGATAAGTTAATCTCGCTTAACATGTGTAAAACACATTTTCAAAGGGTTATTTTAAAGGAATATATTGGGTCAGCGAATGTGCTCCCCTTCCCCTAACCATTTTCAAATGGTTAGTATTGAAACTTTTTCATCACAAATGTGAATACCATTTAGTTCGTGACTGTTTTATGGTATTATCCTTTTTTTAGAAATTCTTTTCAATATTATCTTCGGAAGGGGTAAAGTTTTGACTTGGTTTGAATATGTAAATTGTAATTATATGTGAACAATGCATAACCGGTTCTCTACTTTTGAACAGAAAACTTGGCAAAGGTTGAAGACTTTAGATATACTTCATGATGCTATCCCCCATCCGCATGAACGAATAGGGCATCCAATGCATGTCAAGGTAAATAACTTCATATTGATTTATATTGATGTATCATGTATGTATTCTTGTTATGGAAAATATTCTCAACTTTAGTTGCTGTACTGCATTTATTCTTCTTATGCTGTACGGATGAAGAGTCTTGTTGATGAAGGAAAAGTTGAGTTTGAGGGATTCGGGTGCCTCTTTCCTCTGTGTCCTGTCACTCCCCATCTTTAGTGGCTTGCTTTCGATGCATTTTTACTCTATTTGTGTGAACAAGATTTCAAAGGCCCCTTGTATGAACTGTACTCATTCATATGGTTGTAACCGAGTTCCTACATTAATCCATGTCTCAGATACTAAATACATATAGGATTTGACTTGGGTGATTAGCTTCTCGATTACTAAACCAATCTCTGTTTTTCCTTCCCACGTAACAAATGTATGTTTGAAGTGATTTCATTGGAATTGGTTTGCGCAGGTGGTGCGTAGATGCTTCTGGTCTGGGAGGGGTGCACCTTCCGTTGGTTGGGTATACTGTGGGTCCCATAATTTTAGTGCTGCTGCCTGGGGGCGACAGATTTCAAATCCATTTAGGATAAAGGCTGATGGACCTAAAAAGGAGGACCCTTCTGTGAATTGTGGGCTTCACATTTGCAATTATGAACTTGGGATTATATTTACTTTTCCTCCTACAGAAAATAATGGTCGTCCTAAAGTTAAAAGCACAGAATTAGATGATATAATTCTGCCGTTTGTTGTGCCTGCTCCTAAATATGGATCTAGTGATCGGCCTGCTACAAAGCAGGATATGAAGGAGGTTATGGTTGAACTTGCTGAGCGAGAGAACGAGAAACGTACAGAAGAAGAAATGATGGAAGAGCTTGATGATGAAGAGGAATTTGTCGAGCTTCCAGAAGAACTGGAAGCAACCAATTATGTTGAACAGGAAAAGGAAGAGGAGAAGGAATATGCTGATATACTCTGGAGTCAGGTCGATTCATAGTAGTTGAACTTCTGCAAGGAGCTACATCAGGAGCAAGAAGCAGTGATTATGGAACTGTCAATAAGAGCATTTTATACAAGATCTTTTAAGGTAAAAAATTGATTATAAAAAAACATGTGGACTATTTTTGACTTGTAGTTCTGACTTTGGGTCGTAAAATGCAGGCGAACTTGGATATTAATAGTAGCAGATATTCAACTTGCAAAGAGCGAAGCCGTTGAACTTTCTTGAGAAAGTGATTAGGAAAACTCATCCTAGGTTGATTAAGTTTGGAGTAGAAAGTGGTATTTAGGATCCCTTACACCACTTTATAGCCTCAGGTCCCTTTCTTAGGTGGTGGATCCAACTTAATGCGGGTTTCTTAATTAAAGATGGAAGATAGATTGATGGAGCAACTATATCATTTCTTATAGTTCTAAGGATTCAAGTAAAGGATTTGAAAGTGGTGGCCAATCTTCACGCAATAACTTCACCAATGAAATAATCCCAAGAAAATTGAAGACATGGCCCCCAGTCATAATTAGATAAAAATTGAAGGCATGGCAGCAGAGAAATTCAGCTGCAGAGATCCAAATTCACTGTAACCATTCTTTTCCCCGTTTGATACTCTATGTAACCATTCTTTGGCAGTATTTATTCCCTATTTTTTATTTGTTAACTAGATAGGAATATATGCTCCAATCACGAGGGAATAAACATGTATATGATTACTACTGTTATTTGGTAGGTGTAAGCGTAATTAATTTCTCATTCTTTTGACAATTTTCCAATTATATTGAAGACACTGATATTTACAATTCAGTTTTGCTGCCCATGTAAAAAACACTTTTACATTAATTTATTTTATATTAAATTAAATTATAGTAAAAGTCTCTATATATAGATGTATGATGCGATGATTAGATGTGTCGTATGGTCATAACTTGTATTTGGTTGTCAGATTTGAGATTATGTATGGGACATGTTTCGTGACAAAAAAAAATGGTCACAACTTCTCTTTTTATTAATTACACTTTATATTTTTTATTTTCACCTTAAGTTCATGGTTTTGACGCATACATTGGAAAATCAATTAATAGTTTGAATTTTATAAGATTATTATGTAACTTTCTAATATATATATATATATATATATATATATATATATATATTATTCATTTATTTCCAAAATTATATAGAGTATTAACTAAAGGTAGTTCTGAAAAAAAAGTTAATGTAACATTAGATTTTTGTAAAATGATAGCTAATTAAAAATATTATTACGATATTATATAATTGATATTTGAAATGTATTATACTTAGTCCATAAATAAATAGTTGGATGGTTAGGTATAACATTAGTTTAATATAATTAGAGAATTTTTATATATAATTATATGAAAATAGGAAAATGGCTAACTATATTTTAACGCATTGATAGTTAAAAGCAATTTTTTAGGATGCAAAAAATAGTTCAAACTCTTTAGAGATTAATGTACAAATAAACATGTTTTAAGACATTAAACAAAGTCAACATTAGCATATATTGTTTAAATGTGGGATTGGATGATCTACATTTATATTAGACTAGTCTACAATATAGGCTATTCAAACTTTAATTAAGGTTAAATGCTTATGGTTACGTATTGTTTGTAATTTTCTATGTTGTTTTTAAGCATTGATGAAATAATATATTGTCAAAATAAAAATAAGATAACTGGATCAATAATTATTAAAAGGCACGCTTTGAAGAGAAAGACATTTTTTCTAAAATATGTCAATATATTTCGCTATACTCTCTGCATTATCCTTATTTTTAGCGTTTTTTAGTTAAGAGCTTAAATTTTATACTTGTTTATCTTTGACTTTGCAGACTTTAATATCTTTTCACTAATCCTGTGAGTGTATATAAAGTGTAAAGAGATTAAAAAAAATACTTAGAGAAACAAGTAAAAATAGTGTTTGAATATTTGACTAGAAATACCTATAAAGATTACTTATTGTACAAATTGATCTTTATAAAATAGAGGTTTTAAAAAACTATACCTATACATCAGCTCTTATTTTGTTTCTCTCTCTCTTTTTTTTTCTAAATGAAGAAATTTTCTATCTTTCAAAATATATTTTTAAAGAAAGAAGTCTATTAATGTTTAATGTTTTTAACAAGTACACTTCATTTAATTTCTTGTGTCTTTATGGCTAACAAGTACAGTATTTTATGATATTTTGATAAGTTCTTATATAACTTTAACTTTTTAATTCCTTGATCAATACCTTAAAACACCAGTTAACACAATTCTAAAAATACAAACCGTTAATTAATTAAAATTATCATAAACAAGGTTTTTAAAATAACAATCATTAAATTAATAATATTGTCGCACTCTATGACTAGAAAACAGCATAGAAATTTTGTTCAAGTGTAATAACTAAATCAACTGTTTTTAAGGTTACATGTACAGCTGAATAAAATGCAATCTGATTTAACAGGTAATAGATTCCTTAGATGTGTGTAACAGATGATTGGGTGGATCTGACAGCGTTAAAATTTATGACGCACGTAAAAACATCCGAAAAATAAAATTTGATGAAAATTTAAAGTCCAAAAACACAACAACATATGAGAGAAGATTGCAAGTCAACTTTGATCTGTTCTTCTTCCAACAACCTGCGATCCTTCTGATCTGAGTCCGATGTACCAACTTCTTTCTCCTCTCCAACCTTCTCTTTCTCACTTAACCCATCTTCCTTTTCACTTTTCCTCTTCTTCTTCTTCTACACGAGTTACCTGATACTGATATATCCTGTATAGTAACCAATTTAAGCAGAAAAGAATCATCTTTCATTCATGGACACGTCAGTTCCATACTGAGAACAGAAAGGCACAACTAACTTTCCCATACCCGACAAACTGAATGTAACTACGAATAGGCCATTTATGCAGTTAATTAGACAAAGTTCAAATTTTCCTACTCATTTACTGCTATTCTTAAGAAAAACCTCTCCTTTTTGTTTCTATAATAAAAAAGCTCTCGATTTAGGTTTGTATATTACTTTTTTAATGCTTTTATTTATCACAATGGAAGAAGATATTAAAACAGTACGAGTAAAGAGTAAAATAAAATGTTTTAATTATAAGTACTGCAAAGAAAACTTAAATCATCAGACAAAATTAGTTTTGTAACTTTTATAATAATCATCTTAAAATTATAGACTAATGCATACTCGGAAATTCTATTTTTGTCGACGAAACATTATTTAATGGGGGCATTACCCAATTAAGAATTGCTTACAGTGTATATCAGTATTGCTTTATCTTATGTCACGACTCATTTTTCTTTTGAGAAACACGTTATGTAATGAGCTTGCATAGAGAATCTCTCAAGATAACTTCACTTGAAAGTAACCAACATGGTGCATGGTGTGTCACTCTAACTAATCATTCTGACTCAGTGATTTAAACTGCTATAACTAATCTCTGTTCGTGTGTGGTATTTTATATATTATAACACTAGAAAAATTAATCAAGCTTAAAACAAATGAAAAAGTTTGTTGGGAATCGTGTGTTTTATACTATTATCATTGCTACATAAAATAATAGAATGTTTAATTTTGATTCACTGTTAGTATAAGCTTTTTATGCCAACCCTGTTGGTTTTTCGGTGGTTCTTTGTTATGAATTCTATGTTTTTGTGGACGATTGAGGAGGGACAACAATTGTGTTCCAGAAAATGAGTTCAAAAAGAGGTGGGAGATCTTCCACTGTGGCAACCAATGATGGTTCTTCTTCCAAAGGGAAAAATGCATCGGAGTCTCTTCAAAAAATTGAGCAATTGACTCATGATGTTAACCTTCAGTCAGGAGAAGATGATGGTGAATGGGTGGTATATTCAAGGAAATCCAGGAGTAGAGCAAAAAGTAGTGCTGCAAAACCATGGGGTCCTCCGGTTACATGGTATGATGGAGGAGTTGGAAGGGCTTCTGGTTATGCAACTGGAAATCCTTGGGAGTCCCAAAATGCTAACTTCAGGAGAACTGCAGAAGGAAATTCAAGGACCCAGTTAAATGCAAGTAAATCTGAAAGCAGCAATGTGATTTATAGCCCATTAATTCGACCTTCCTTGGAGCATGGGTGGAATTGGCAATCTAGAACTGGTTCCAGGCAGCACCGGGGTGATGATAGCATGGTAAAGGATGAGATTACAGAAGAATCCCCAGTGAAGAATGATGGTGTTGATGAAGAGGGAGAGGAGGGCTTTGATGCAGTGGAAGATACTGATGACGATCTAATGAGTGATGACTATGATTCTGATACTAGTCAAAAGAGCCATGAGACTCGTAAGAAGAGCAAATGGTTTAAGGTTGTTGAAAATAAACAAAAACAGAAGCTATTCTGTTAGTGTGTGTGCGGTTGTGTATAAATATACAGTGTAACATTCATTTCAAGGTTAATAATAAAATTTTGAGGTATTATACAGTTTACCTGAGTGCCTTTGTGAGTTTTCTTTGACTGGTAGAATTTGTGTGTGGTGGTGCTCCGTCGTCTGTGGTGGTGGTGCTCTAAGGAAGAGGGTCGAAACCCTAGCACAGCTCGAGTGTCTTCATTCTCTCTGAATCTCGACTTCTCTCTCTGTATTTTGTTTTTCTCTCACCAACACGTGCACATATTACTTTTAATAAGTGAAAGTAAATGTCTGAGTGTGGGGTTTTACAAATCTGCCCTTTATTCTAATATGGTATCAAGAGCATAGGTTATTGTCCTGAGGTGTGTGAGCATTGTATTCTGGAGGTGTGTGTATCCAGAATTGCAGAAAAGGAGGGTTCGTTGACTGGGTTAAGATTAAAGATTCAGAAAGATTGTAGCAAGAAAGGATGGCTGAAATTGGAGGGATTCAGGGGTCACTACCTGTGTTTGATGGCAAGCATTTTGCAGAATGGCGGATCAAGATGTGGGCTGTGTTTGGTTTTCAAGATGTGTTGGAAATCATTGAAGGAGGAGTGCCTGTGTTGAGTGAAAAGGCAACCCAAGAACAGAAGAAAGAACACAAGATACTGGAGAAACTGGACAGCAAGGCCAGGTTCTTGATGTATCAATGTGTAAGTCAGAAAATTTTCAATAAAATCTCTAATGCAGCCACTGCAAAGGAGATTTGGGGAATGCTGATGAAAACCTACGGTGATGGAGATAGAAATGCAAAGGTTAAACTACAAGCTTTAAGGAGGAAATTTGAAACTCTGATCATGGAAGAAAGTGAAACCGTGGCTGAGTATTTTGATAAAGTCCAGGAGTTGGTGAATAAAATGAGAGCTTGTGGTGAAAAGGTAACTGATGAGTACATAGTAGATAAAGTTCTAAGAACCCTTACTCCCAGATTTGACTATGTGGTGACTGCTATTGAAGAAACCCGGAGAAGAGAGGATATTGGCAGTGAGGAGTTACTGCATTCACTGGAGGCTCATGAGTTACGTCTCAATGAACGCAGGCAATGTCAGGAGCAGGCCCTGCAGGCCAGATCACAATGGAGAGGTAAAAAGGGGTTCAAGAAAGGTGAAAAAGGAGGAAAGAAAGGAAAAGATTCTCTGGATCAACAAGGAGAGGAGTTCACTGAATCTGGAAAAGAGAAGAAAGTAAAGAATGCTGATGGAGAATGGAAATTTGATAAGAAAAAGGTGAAGTGCTATAACTGTCAGAAGCTGGGTCACTATGCGAAGGAGTGCTGGAAAGGTGAAGGGGCCAAGAATAAACCTAAAAGGGCTAATCTGGTACAAGA